CTAAAAAATTAATATTACTAGGCTTAATATCTGGGGTAAAAATAAGGGACTGGTCATTATTATTGATAAAGGTTGTAAAATCATGTAGTGACTCCAGGGAGCCCTTCCAGATAATTAAAATGTCGTCTCTATATCTCCGCCATAGCACCAAGCTCGCGCCAGTGGGATTATTATTCAAAATATTGGAGGTTTCCCAATTGTCCATAAAAATGTTCGCATAACTCGGAGCGAACTTGGCGGTACCTTGAATTTGTAAATAACACTCACCATTAAAAAAAAAATATGAGTTGAAATGAATTTAATGCTGTCTAAAATAAATTGGCTAAAAAGTGGTGATATGTTCATGTCTTCTTCTAAAACTCGTTTGGTGGCTTTAAGACCCTTTTGATGGTCAATGCATGTATAGAGGGAAGTGACATCCAGAGTTGCCCACACATAGCCTACCCTCCATTCTGTGCACTCGAATTCTTGTATTAAACTTTTAGTGTCTTTGAGATAAGACCTCGCATTTTGGGCATACTTTCAGAGGGAAAAATCCACGAACTCTGACATTCTGGATATCAAGGAGTCCATCCCGCTGATAATTGGACATCCTGGAGGCTGAGAGATAGAATTATGGACTTTAGGAACAAAGTAAAAAGCTGGAATTCTGGGAGAATCTATAAACAAAAAAGAAAATGGATTTCCATCCAGAACTCCTTTCTCCCTAAAGTCCAGAAGAAATTCTTTTAAAATCTGATTATACTTCAAATTTGGATTCTCTTTCAATTTGATATATGTACTTCTATCTCCAAGAAGTCGATCAGATTCTTGTAAATAATACTGGGTGGGCATCACTACTATTCCCCCTCCTTTGTCCGCACTTTTGATTACAATATCATCTCTATTTTTTAGATTCTTTAAAATCTTATTTTCTTTTAAAAAATAGAGATGATATTGTGAGTGCATGTAGCCATTAGCACTTACTGCACCATTGTTTTTATCTCTCTCCAGGGGCGTACCTAGAGCATTTGGCACCCGGGGCGGTTCCTGTGCTTGGCACCCCACCACCACCACCTAAAAAAAACCTGTAAAAAATGTTGAAGGTTTTCTTTCTTTTTTTTTACAATTTGTAAACTTTGCAAAACCGCTGTCAGCCCCTCCTACAAAACCCTTGTCCTGCCCCGCCCCTCCTACAAAACCTCTGTCCTGCCCCTTCTACAAATCCTGTACTGCCCAGTCTACAAAACCCCCTTCCACAAATCCCCTGCTTATCCCCCCTTATAAAGACTCCTG